AAAAAAAAAAAAGAAGTGAGAGCATGTAAGGGTTTGAGATGATGATGTTGACTTTACTGTCCTGTAAACTATGCCTGCAGCAGCTAAGAGCTTAATGTCACATAAACCAAGAGAAATGAAAGAGAAGCTGTATCTACAGGCTACATGATGCAACCGGTGAGCAACTACTCAGATAGCAGGGTGCTCTGTGTACATTAAGTGCCTACAGATAGAAATGCTGTGTAAAGGAATCACTGCTGGCACACTGACACATGCTGGCAAATTAGACTGTACTTGGTGGAGGGATAAGAATCTACTACAGCTCTTTAAAATCACCCCTGTCGTGATCACCTCATGATAAAAAAAATAGTTTCTCCAGTGTAAATAAAAGTGTAGCACATTTCCCAAAGAATCTTTTGAAGTAAAACCAGATTGGTGTGTAAGAGTAAACCAAGTGGGAACAACCTGTCAACCTACAGTGTTACCAGACAGAGCTCAGAATGAAATGGGAATGGCAGCACCTTTTCAGGTTTTACAGCCACCCTTTTGACAGTTATTTATTACTGCTAATATTGTGCTTTGTAAATTTATGCAGTGCTTTATGAAGTAAGACATGTTTCCTATTTTAAAGGTTTTATAATCTTGTGGGCTGATAAGGGGCGCAGATTATCCCTTGGATGTTCATAAATAGCATTAGCACTGAGAGTTTTATTAGTGCTGGGTCCTTTCAAGCCTGTGGCTCTTTCTTTTTAACGACGCTTTCCTAGTCAAGTACCCAAATCAGGATTTCAACACCTTGATCTTCCAGGCTGGAAAAGTCTGGGCATTCTTTTGTTCTGCTTGTAGGGAAAGAGCAAAACCCAAGGAGAGTCCCAGAGTTGTTGCTCTGCATGGATTTAATCCACTGCCGTTGCTTGCCTCTCTCTTGAGACTACAAATCTGGGTTTTGGGTGATGGCAGCAGAGAGCAAGCTTGGGAGGCGTGTGTGTTTTAAATAAACAAACAATGGAACAGCAACTTCAACAAACTGTGAGTGGTGCTAATTTGTTATAGGGCTGTCTTGCCTTCTGGCAGTGTTGATTTAGGAGAGGCTGAGCAGACTGGAACGGATGCGGGGAGCCGCTGGTTCTTTTGCTCTGGGGTGTGTATATGGTTCAGTAGAAAATGCTTCGAGGGGTCCGGTCCTGAGGAGCTTTCAGATTACAGGGTAAAGCACATGCATAGGCTGCCAATCTCCTTTTCAAAACCAAATCTTGGACAGAAGTACCTTCCCCTCTGCCTTGCTCGTCTGCTTCCGCTTTTTTTTAAATGGAGAGATGCTTTAAGTCTTGATTCATGACAAGAACCTACAATTTGTGTGTTTTGAGGACTGCCAGAAAATCCTTGACAATGATAGTGTCTAGGGAAGGGAAGGAGGAAGAGCCTGTGTTTTGGATTATGGCACAGTTTTCAACACCCCATGGCCCTGGTGGGCTGCAATCCCCAAAGCTGAGAACCTGACAGAGGGGCTGGCCGAATGCACAAAGTATCTGCAGCCCCAGACCACTCTTGTGCAGTGCTGCAGGATACAGATGGCAGGATGGGAGCCTTGCTGGGAAGAGGTGGATTTCAGAAGTGTAGCATGACCTCCTTGCAGCCTGTGAGCTGAGTTTAAAGAAAGTCTGAATTCTCAAGTGAAGATGACAGAGGAATAAAACAGTCAAAATGAGGAGTCATTGCTGAGGAGAGGCAGCCAAGGAAACAACAAACTTTGAAAACGAGTATACCCTGTTTTCCCCTTAGGTTATCTTCAGGTCAGATAGATTTGGATGCAATGCCCAGCACAGTTTGCAAACCTTTGAGTCTGTTAGGCCTTGTGCTTCATCAAGCAATAGTGGCTTTCTGGCATCTTCTCATTTGCCAGGCTCAGAGCTGCAGAAACGCTTTTTGGTGGTTGCAAAGAACCAAATCTGTGAAGGTTGAGTGGTCAGTTATGCATCCGATTTGGAGGGATGTTTGGCAGGCAGCAGAGTCTTGATACTGCCAGGACCAACTCTTAAACAGGAGTTTGCTTGAAAGACTTTACTGAAGTGAAGCTTAGACACAAAGATTTCTCTGGGAAGTAGAGGGCTGAGTACGGGATCACGTTCTTGGGGAGAAAAAAAGTGGATAAAGTGCAAAAGGTGCTGTATTTAAGGCATTGTTTATTTATATTAAGAACTGTTTCTGCTGCATCCATAGGTACAAAATGAGATAAAGAAGTGAGACTTGGCATTGTAGAAAAAAACGAGACAGCAGGGTTTGTTCCTGTCCTTACTGGTATCTGGCATGTGGTGAGAGATGACATTTTGGTCCAAGGCTGGTACTACCCATGTCCATGACCTGGAGGGTCAGAATGTTCCTTTTTCTCTGCTATGCCATATGCTCTTGCCCTAGAGGAATACTCAGCATGAAGCTGCCATCCTGTGCCCTCGCTGCCAACTGTGCCTACCATACCAGACAGGACCAGAAGCATCTTGTCACTCCATGTAATTCATAGAGTTGCTGATTCTGCCTAACACTCTCTAGGATTAGCTGGGAGGTAGCAACAATACTTTAGTCATGTTCTAAATTCTTGCATTGTAAAGGGAGAATTCTGTACATCAAGGTTCAAAGGTACCAGGGAAACTGAGGAATTTTGCATACCAAAGGAGCCTTAACTGGTGGATGGGCGGAGGGTATCCTTCCTCCTGTGTGGGCTGAGCTACTCCACTGAATATGTGGGTATTTTAGTGCAATAAGGAGTCATTAGATTAGCATGGGACATCAGAACTACTTTTCCTATTTGCAATTCAGGTACAGTTGGAACTGAGCTTGCTCAGTTGTTGCAGGGCTGCGGAAGAGCCTAACATCTATTGCTGCTCATTAGTTTCTGAGGCTTTATTTGTTTTGTGCCACTGCTGTGTTCCTGAGATCAGCTGTGCTCTGTAGATACGCAGGAATTTTTAGCGCCTGGCTCTGCCTGACAAGACCTGCAATGTCCATGCCTCTCCTCTTCTCCTCCCACTGAAGGGTTTGGGTAGTCGTAGGTTCCTTCATATCAGCAGTAAAAATAAACGTACAATATACAAGGGTTCTGTTTAGGAATTGGCAGGAAGCTTCATTTTTGACTGCAGTGTGATGTTCTAACAGTAGGAAACGCTTTTGTTTTAAGCAGTTCTCTGCTAATCTCTGCCCTAGAGGGGAAATAAAACTATGGAGAAGAGCTTCTTACTTCACAGGAGCAAGAAGCCAACTGCTGTAATCTTGAGTGTAAATCTGCGTTTGAGCTGCTGTTGAAGAAATACCTTTATGTAGTATTCAGCCTTTCCTAAACAGAGCATTGCTGGTACTGCTGACTGTTTTGCGGTCCTGATGCTGGCAGATGCAGCCAGTAGTATGCTGCTTGCATGCATTCTAGAGTGTGTGATCTCTTGGGGAGGGGGGAGCTCCAAATCCCTGGGGCTCTGGCCCTGATGTTCAAAGCTGCGTGCTATCTAAACGTGTTTGGTCTGTTCATGCTGGCAGTTGTCCGTTCAGACTGGTTCAGCAAATGCTCTTGGCTCAGCATAGCCCAGGTCAGTAAGCAAACACTTGCTTACATTTCACTTCTTCATTGTATTGACAAGATTTAAAAATCTTCAGTCTATAGCAGTCAAAACAGGGCAATCTGAATACAAAAGACCTATTAGTTCAGTGTGAAAAGGATTTAGTTACAGAACTGTGGGGATAAGAATGCAGGTGGGAATGATGGGAACACTGTCCTGGGCTTGAGCCCAGCAAATGTCCAGGATGAATGAAGAACTATCTCCTTAGATTCAGTGTCCTTTTCACAAAGACACTTTCTATTTCCCAGGCCAGTGTCCTCCTTTATGTTCTCTCTCGTCCAGCTACATTAATTACTGTAAGTCTTTTTCATTTCGCCTCTTACCTTTTAAGGTTGAAATAATAATCAATATTCTTTTAACATTTTAATTGTAAGATTTCTGTCTCTAACAGCACAGCTAGAGACATGCAGCCATCAATGTAACAAGAGCTATGCTGAAGTTTCACTTCACTATGAAGGTCTAAAACCCTATTTTAAATCCCTGCGAGGCTGCAGGCTTGTTTCTGTTCTGCTTTTTGTGTTGTGGGTTTGTTGTCTTATTTTTTTTCCCCGTTGGGGCAGCATCACCACCTGTAGAGAGGGACCAGTCCTTAGCATCTACCCTGAGACTGCCTGGAGCTGATTACAGGAGCTCTGGGGAAAGGAGAATAGGCACTGCAGAGGATACACTCAGGTTATCAAGCCTAGGGTATCTGTGGGATGTGGTTTTCCCTGACATGGAAAAGATGTTGTTGCTGTTTCCTTTGGGCAGGGAAGGGTGAAATTACAGATCTTGAGTTTTGCGACTCTCATACCACCTGCATTTCCCCATGAATCAACTTGATCTCCAGTCTCCAAGAACCTACATTAAATTAGCAGTGAAGCATCATTATAAATAGAAGATACACACTGTTTTCTTTTCTCGTCTTGCCCTGCAGATGTAACAAAAGCCTGTCTCAATGCCATAACATCTCTAGAAGAACAGGATTCCAAAGGCTTGGGAAGGGGGACTGGAAAATTGGGACAACAGAGATGATCAGTATTGAAGTGTTCCTTCCATTGCCTTTACTGCGTGGGGAATGAGACCATGAAGCTCTGGTGCCAGGGCTTTCTTGTAGAGGCATTTCTAAATGGTGATATTTAGTTGCCTGAATTTCCAGGCAGAAGGAAGCTGATGTAGACATCCTGGGATCTGGTATTCTTGGATACACATGGACTGGTCCCCCTGAAGCTCAGTGCCATTGGGAGCCCTGACTGGAGGTGGCCACAGTCATCAAGAAACTTGCAGAGGCTTTCTGCTGTGTTTCTGTCACAGTTCAGCAGTGCTGGGGAGCTGGGTGGAGGGGAGGTTGTTCTGGTAGTTACATATATAAGGCAGGTGGCCGTTTTAAAATGTACCTTTCAATTTTGATTGCAGTTTTTTAATTGCATTTAACAGCGTCCCTGCTGGTTCTCCATTCTGCATCCGTGCAGCCACGTTCTATTGATGGCCTGTTGTGATTTCAATGGAACATCATGGGATGTACCTGGCACGTCGGGCAGCACTGGATGGAGGTGCCTTTAGCCCAATGTACCTGGCATGGTAAGCGGCAACCAAGTGGTTAATCTGCATTCTACTGCTCATAGTCTCAGCTTGTATAGCAAGGTGTTCCTGCTTTGCTGCAGCCTTGCACTGACTAGAAATCACTTGCTCTCCTGATGTTAGTGCTTTCGTGCACACAGGGCCCTTACCCTTTTCACCCATGGAGATTCCCCTTCTCTGGGCAGTTTGCCATGCAGTAGGGAACGGCCTAGCCATGTTAGGCTCTCCTTGTTATTCTAGGACAGGAAAGAGAAGGGACTGGGAAATCATCTGACTCTTCTCTCCTTTTTGGGCCAGGAGCTGGTAGCAGTAGAGCATGTATTGCCCACGTACCTAATGTCCAAATGCTGCTGCACAGAGGTACCCAAAAGGTGCTTGTGTCCATAAGCAAGGCCATACTGTTTCTGCAGGAGTCCTGCTAGAGCTGCTTCAGGGAGCTGGGAGGGAAGTTCTGCCTGGCACTAATTGGAATGTAACAAACTAAACAATGGCCACTCTTAAGTTTGCTGATGTGGTATCCTCTGTGAAAAGATCCTCCATTCTCCTTCTTTCCATGTCCAAACCTGCCACATCAGCTGCACATCCTGCTCTGTCCTGCATGTCACTTCCTCTCCCTTCCCCAGCTCTGCAGACCTCTCCCCGAGTAACTTGACACGTTGGTCTTACCTATTTTGAAGTGAGTTATTCCGGTGAGAAGAACAAGGGTGCTGCATCCTGTTTGCTGCTTGAGCCCACACCACAGAGCTTTTGCTGCTCCACTGCCAATGATGAAAATGCATGCTCTTGCCTCTGTTTCCGAGTTCTGCTGTCTGCCTGCTCACAGGGGATGGGGATAGGGAACCGTTTGGGCTAACACAGTCCCTGCATTCCTCCCCATGCCTCTGCTGCTCTGGAATGTGAATACCTTTAAAAGGCATGGGCTAATGACTGGACTACTGCAGCTCCTGGGGGGAAGCCCACTTCACTGATACGTTGCAGAGTCCTGGAAATAGGTTCTGTTGGGATGTGGGGAGAGAAAGATCAGATGAGCCAGAGAGCAACAGGAAAGCTCTCTTCCCAGTGGGGTCCTCAAGTGCAGCGAAGAAGTTAGCTCATCTGAAACTGAAGAGTGCAGAAGTCACCTGTTTCAAGTTTCACCCAGGTCCCATAGCAATTGGACACAGCATTTTTAATGTCGGAAGTAAACCGGTGGGAAAGAGCAATGCAGGAAACAATTGATTTAATTTTGTCTTGTTCTTCCCCACACTCACTGCTGCAGTGTCTGCTCAGCACAGCACAACTGCTTGGGAAGGTGGAGAAATAAGTAAGCAGGCCACTATCTTGCCCTAGGTATATTATAACATGCACAGTAGGCTAATGCTTTAACAGCATCTAATGTGATACATCACATCTAATCTGTTTGTTGGTTTTTATCTGCAGTACTGTTAGTTCACTGTTCAGGTGCTCGGTGTCTAATCTTCTCATCCATCCACAAATCCTCTACGTGAAATGAGTGATTCCTTAGATCTGTTTTTGATTGATTCTTTGCTTCACTGGTGTTGCTTCTTAAAAGGTAAACAATATTCATATGCTGCAATCTATAACTCAGAGATGAAATCAAGTGGCATCTCCTGCCAGAGGTTGCTAAGATAACATATTTAGCATTCACTCAGCAATTCCTTTTAGGAAAAGATTTAGTGATATTAAAGAAAATCAGATCTGCAGTGAATATGTACATTTTTACTATTTAAAAGGGTGAAGGGACTCCTGTCTCCTGTACTTTGGCAATGTAATATTCTGTGATGTCCAGAGTCTTTGTGGAAATTGAGAGAAAATGAAGTTTTTCCTGCTTTGTAGTGAGAGCAGCTCAGTTCCTGGAGCTGTCTGTGTGTTCTGCACAATCTTCATGCCCACAGGATCCCAGTGTGCCCCAGGCTGGGCACAGTGGCTGTCAGTTACCCACCTCCTTGGGCAATAAGCTTATGAAGATGCTGTCAGCTCTTAGCTTGCAAAGCTTTGTCTGATGTGTGGCATCTGCTTGCAGCATTACTGTATTCTGTGATTTGTGCCCTGTATTTTTCATGTCTTTGCATGTGCTGTGTGTCTCAGTGTCATGGATATGGTTGAGGTAGTGGGAGCCTCAGTCTTGCCTCATTCCCTACTTGCAGAAGAATATTTGAGCAGGTTCATTGCTCTGAAATCTGTCTTGAATGCCTAGGAAGCAGTCTGAATCTGAAAACCAGGCCATCTCTAATGCTATTTGTCCAAAGCCTTCTGTGATCCTGTTTTAAATGCCAAGGAGTAAAATTCTGCACACCAAATTCAATGATAAAAAAGACTTGGCCCCCAGCGAGACATCTGTGTACTCTTGGGCTTTGGTTTTTTTACTGGAAATGCATCTGAGCCTTTCCTAAGGCAGGGCTCCCCTGAAGCAGGAATATGGTTTTTCCTGTCTTTTTGAAGAGAACAGAAAAGGAAGGGTTCTTACAAATGACACTGAGATACAACAAATACAAACCACTGTGATTTTTCAGGGCTTTGGGGAGCTTTTGTTGTCATTACTGGTGGTGGTGATGTTATCCAAATGCTGAGGGTTTGTTAAGGGCCAGCTGCAAACTGATAGATAGCAAGGCCTTTGCAAGGCTGTATCTGCCATTTGTTTGAGAAGATCTGCTAACTTTTATACTGGACTTAACCTTGTAGTTGTGTCTGGTCCCATGCTTCCAGCTAGAAGTGAGATTTTAGGAATGCCTTAGATTAAGGAATAATGCCTGTTTCTCTTTTGCTGACAAGTTTTCCAACACCCCTCTTCCTCCACCTCTGAAATGCATTAAAGAAGGGTTTGTAACTGGTCAGCTCTGGAAAATACTTGGAATGAATTTAGTTTTGTCCAGGACTGCACAAGACACATAAGCCAGGTTGATGCTGTAAAGCTTCTGTCGGTCAGTCAGAGGTGTGTTCTCTGACCACGCTGCTGCCCTGGGCAAAGCCCTCAGTGGGCAGTTCTGGCAGAATTTTAAACATGGGGCTCGAAACTTGGCTGAAGGTTTTGCTGCCTTTCCCCATCCCATTTATTTTGTTGGGATTGCTAAATCCATGATAGACTTCAGCTGGCAAATGCAAATTTGACAGGCAGTGTTACAGTGCTTAAACCTGACCACTGCTTTTAAAATCTACTAAAGGTAATAACTGACCTCACACTTACATGCTACTGAACATGAATACTTCTGTACAATTTGACGTGTGAGATAAATAGAGGCAATTTAAACAACTTGTACCATGCTAATTTTTATGCGGCAGAACGTACTGAGGTTTAATAATATTATTTTCCTCATGAAGGTCACTAAAAAGCAGACTTAAAATTCTACCCCTGTTTCCAGGGCTTTCCCTACAGGCTTATTACCTGTTCTCAATATCATTTAAGGCAGAAAGAAAGAAAAAAGAAACGAAAATGTAACCATATTTTCTATTAGTAGCTGCAGCAAGTCTTTACTATTTGCAAAGACTTAGACAAGTACATACACAGAGGTTTCTAGACCTCTGCTTCAAGTACCACATGAATGGGAAATAAGCTCGCTTTTACTTCAGTAACACATTTTTCTTTTTTTATTAGTCTGTTTAGGAAAAAATATTGGCTGTGCTGTTTCCTTTCCTTTACCATATTTGTACTTTATGGAGCACATAAAAATCATATCCAGGGATTTTGTGTGTTATATGCATGGAAAAGCCACCATTATGTTTGTAGTGAAAATAGCGTAGGAGTAGGCTGTCTCGTGCTATTCTCGAGCAGGATGCAGTTGTGTATATATAGATGCTGTGTTATGTTACAGGCCATGTTTTTGTCCTTCCTTATCAATATATCTTGGTGACCCAGAAGTAAGTGCTTTTACTGGCCTGGCTAGATAAAAGTGGGTATTTGGTGCCTCTGTGCTGTTGCTCCTTCCTCTTAATCAGCAATTCTGGAAGCAAGCCACTAGAACCAGACACACTGCCTGCGTGCTGCAACTCTGATGTAACTCATTACAGCAAAACTTGTTTTTAAAGTGCTCGGCACTGTTCGCTGGTGGTAATCCCTGTCTCTATCATGTTTTTGGGATGCTGCAGGATGAGCTTCTATGACAGAAACACTACAAATGTAGAAGAAATAGCTGGCAGCACCATGGCAAGCCTGCAGTTCTTCCTGTTGGCTGCTACCCTTTCTAAAGCCAGCCATCTCTGGGAACAACATTAATGTGTACAAAGGCACAGTGGTGAATCCACTGTCTTCTTGGGTTGCCATCCATTGCTGAAACAATATAGAACACAAAAGCAGAGCAGCCATTTCAGCTGCAGGTCAAGGCAGTGAGCCACTGAGATCTGTGTGGATGCTGAATTAGGTGCTGGCGCACTGAACAGCGGCTACCAAATTCTACCAAATGTATAGCCAAGTACCAGGCTGACCAGATAACAAAGTGAACGAATTTGTCCTGTGGAGGAAGGGAGGCACATGCTTGGCAGATCTGATATGCTGGAAGAAGTATAAGTACCAGGCTAGCCAGGCAGCAACGCTGGAGGAAAAACTATATTCCTTTACCTTTCAGTAGCTTTTTTCAGAAAGCAAAATCTTTTTGTTGTGCAGAAATGGACAATGTAAATTTACCACCTTTCTGCCAAATTAAATCTTCCTATTTATCACCAGTTAGTAAGAATCAGCTCTGAGATTATTTTTAATACTGATAGTATCGCTCCTTATTTCTCCTGTGTACATACTTGACGCAGAGGGAAGTCTAATGCTTCATCATTTGGAATGTGATGGGACAGAATGGGATAATGGGACTCACAAGCAGTAAAGACATTAACTGATTATGATTTTAAGAGAAAATTTAAGCTCTTCATTTCTATGCACTTATGGCCTGCTCCTCCTTCAGTAAGAGAAATCTGTTTCAATAACATGATAAACTAGGGAAAGAAGGAGGTGGAAGGCTAAATGTCGCTGTTGTATCTTTGGTATTTAATTCCTGTATTTGAACTCCAGAGACTGTTTGAAATCACTCTTCACAGATAAATGCCCATTACAAGTAGTAGGTGGCTCTTTCAAACAAAACCAAACCAAAAATAAAATTTTATGTTGGATTCCTGAATGCAGCCCCAGATTTAAATTCTGGTTTTTATGTGCTGTAGTATCTACCACACATGCAATTGCAATTAGTTCTGATATGCCTCAAACTAGGTATTTCCTACAGTCCATGCTACTGAGAGAATCAATATAAGTATCCAAAATACATTGTGAATACTATTTGTGAAATACATGAACTACACAGAGGTAGCCACAATCTTCCCCTCTTCCCAGCACTTCAGGGTAGAGAGACTGTGACTTGTGTTAGTTACTCGACTCTTACCAGTTTGAACAAAATTCCTTCAAACCTAAAGGCAGGCCAGAATTAACTTAAGAAATCACTTTCAGATTGTTGAAGACATTTGGTGGCATTTAGCTAGCTCAGCATCCTGAACTGCAGCCAGTTCAGGGTTGATTCTAGCCCTTCATGTCAATGGATTTGGGATATGGATATTGCCGGGGGGTGGTTTTTAAGACAGCCTTTCATACTCTTAAGGAGATTCCCCATTCACACCTCGGTGTGATTAATTCCATCTTCAATGGATTTAGTTGCAACATGTCATTTTCTCCACTCCGGAGCAGCTGGGTGTTGTAGGATTTCAACATGTAAGAGCCAAGAATCAAACTACATGTTAAAGCAGGGGAGCTGCAGCTTATGCGAATTATTTTACATGCTCAGATATGCAAATGGAAGTGAAGTAGATGCTGCTTTTTTCTTCCTTTTTTTTTCTTGCTTTTCATCCTCCTTTCAGATTTGTGTCAAGAGAGAGAAACAGCTTTCTCCCGTATCTAACTATTGTGTTCCTGCTGGCATCTTTTGAATAGTAATTCCAGCCAATGACGGCTGCTTTTGTAAAGAGATATTTACAAATCTGATTTTTGAAAGACTTGAATCAAAGCTTAATGTGAGAAATAATTCTCCCTATACTCCAAGCAGGATCACAGCTTGCAGGGCTGAACATACCCAGATCTCCTTAGTCAGTGTCAAGCCTAACATTAACTGCGTTAAGCCAGTCTATTAAATGTAGACTTGTTAGAGTGGAAACAGCAGGTTCACACCCTCTCATCCTCCTCTTTTGCAGGTGGTAAGGTGAAGGTGAAAGGAAGAGAAGGTGGAGATGGAACTGCCAAATCATGCCAAACAACTGCTACTGCAGCTGAACCAGCAACGAGCCAAAGGTTTCCTCTGTGACGTGATCATTGTGGTAGAAAATGCCCTGTTTCGTGCCCATAAGAACATCCTGGCAGCCAGCAGCATGTATTTCAAATCCCTTGTCCTGCATGACAACCTGATTAACTTAGACACAGACATGGTGAACCCCACCGTGTTCCGGCAGGTCTTGGACTTTATTTATACTGGTAAGCTCTTAACGACTGACCAGCCCGGTGAACAGAACTTTAATGCTCTCCTCACCGCAGCAAGCTACCTCCAACTGCACGACCTGGCAGCTCTCTGCAGAAAGAAGCTGAAGCGGAACAGCAAGTCCTTTGCTGGCAAGGCCGGTGGCCTTGGTGTCGGGAGATCTGCCAGGAGTCAGAGACTTTCCACTGCTTCGGTCATCCAAGCTCGCTATTCAGGGTCAAATGAGGGGTTGAAGGGCTCGCACTCAAAAGAGCTGTCAAAGGGAAAGCTCTCCGATGATGAGGTCTTCATCAGTAGCTCCAACCAAGAGAACTGTCACTCCTTAAGCAGGGGAGCCAGTAAGAACGGTGGTGGGAGCGGCAGTGCAAACGGGAGCACTGGGGACCAGGAGCTAGGCCTCGATCTGTCCAAAAAAAGCCCGTCACTCCCTGTTGCAGCCTCCCATGATGACACGCAGCACAGCGAAAGCCAGCATGGCTCTCCCCAATCTGCCTCAGCCCCTGCAGCCAACAGTGCCTCATCGTTTGACGAGTCTGGAGTCGGAGCCCCTCACAGCATGGCAGACAGCAGCGACCCCATGGAGATGGATCTGAGCGAAGAGTGCCACCACTCACTGACGGAGAGCAGCCAGCGCAAGGGCCTCCGACACTCGTCCCGCAAGAAGGAGTGGATCAAGAAAGACAATGCCTTCGACCGAAAGGAGGGGGGCAAAGACAGGGACGAGGGTGAAGGGCTGCCCAACGGTATCCTGCTGGGGCCCTTGTCCAAGTCTGTGGAGAGGAGTCTGGCTGGGGCCTACGGTGCAGACCTACCCTACCCGTGTAAGGAGGAGGTGGAAAATGGCAAGGAGAACAGTGACGACAGCGGCCAGAGCGAGAGTGAGAGCGGTGGGCATACTAGTGCCAACTACGTCTACCGGCAGGAGGGGTTTGAGCCAGTGGCCTACGGTGACAACCTGTATGTCTGTATCCCCTGTGGCAAAGGCTTCCCGAGCTCTGAGCAACTCAATGCCCATGTGGAGACGCACACCGAGGAAGACCTTTACATCAAGGAGGAAGGCACATACGGCGGCAAGGATGAAGCCGAGGATTTGTCCAACCCCAACCAGTCCTACGCCGCGGAATCCCGACCCTTCAAGTGTTCAGTGTGTGAGAAGAGCTACAAGGATCCAGCCACGCTGCGGCAGCACGAGAAGACTCACTGGCTGACACGGCCCTTCCCTTGCAACATCTGCGGCAAGATGTTCACGCAGCGGGGCACCATGACACGGCACATGCGCAGCCACTTAGGGCTCAAGCCCTTTGCTTGCGAGGAATGCGGGATGCGCTTTACCCGGCAGTACCGACTGACAGAGCATATGCGTGTCCACTCAGGAGAAAAACCTTACGAATGTCAACTGTGTGGTGGGAAATTCACCCAGCAGCGCAATCTGATCAGCCACCTGCGAATGCATACCTCTCCCACATAAGCCAAAGACTCCAGAATGAGCTTCAAGCCCATCCGCAGTGATTTACCTTTCTGTAGACTTGCTGCTTAAAAAAAAACAAACAAAAAGAAAAAAAAACAAAAAAGGGGGCAAGTCCCCACACTCTGTTCAGTCATGGGAGGCCTAAACAAATGTAGCTTTAACATTTAAAAAAAAAAAGTTCCTTTTTTCCCTTTTTTTAAAAAAAAAGAAAGGTCCACAGCCAAGCTGATGCATTTAGTCCAACTCTCCCTCCAAATCCTGGTGATCTGGTAAGAAATGCCACTTCTTTTTGCACACATTGACTTCATTGTCATACTGATTATCTGGAGCAGGTAGGAGGGGGACCATGGGGAACCTTCTGCTGGCTCCCCACTCCCTGCCTCTTTCCTTCCTGTTACTGTCACCCTACTTGCCTCCTCTCTTAAACCCAAACTCATTAGGGGCATTTCTTGCCATCAAAAGAACAATAAAATACATCTTTCCAGTGGCCTCAATAGCTGTGAAACAACACAGCCTTGCATTCACAAGTGCAGAAGCTGTGTCTGTGGACCATCTCACAGAGCTGGCAGCCCCTTCAGACACTGTGGGAAAGCCATAGCAGTGGTGGAACGCACCACCCTTCCCCTGGCCTGGCGATGGCGGGGAGTGCACCAGCTTGAGCGATGCCTCCCTCACCATGCCTTCCTCTTTTGGTTTTGATCTTTATCCTTGGCACACGTAACCACATGCCACCTCCTTCCCACAAAACACGCAAACCTCTTCTGCCTTACCCATGACTGAACAGGGCCTGGATGCCCTGGGAATTTCTTTCAGTGAGCAGGGGGTCGTCTTTACTTTTCTAGTAGTTTCGTATGGATATTCTTTGCTTAGAGGTACTTGTTTTATTAAAGGAAAAACCATTGTAACGTTTATGTGAATGTTTGAACTGGAAGGTCTGAGGTTAATTCTGGGGGGTGGGTGGGGAGGGGGTTTGATGTAGGCTGGACTTGCTACAAGTTCCTTAGGTACTTTTTTATTATTTTTTATTTTATTTTGTGTGTGTGTGTATGTTTTTAGCTTTCCTCCCTCACTAAAGAGCAAGTCTGTGTGGACAGGCTTGTTACCTTTGCTACCTCTTGACTTCATGAGAACAATAAGATGGTTAGTGAAAGATTAGGCTTTTTTTTTCTTTTATTGTAAGTAATTAAATGTATAAAAGTAGAAGCTAAATTAAAGTTAAGGGATTTTTACCACCCTGTCCTTCCATCAAAAGTCAGCTAGAGAAATGTTAAAAGCAAAGCTTGGCCAAAGACAAAGCAAAAAACATAGTTTGAGCCAGAGGTTGTGCTGGCTGCTTGGACTGGCTCATTCGCAGTCTCTTGGCTGGTTGTAGTCACTTTTAGATAAAAGAAGAAAACTTCTCTGAGCTTTTTGGGCCCTTTCCAGCTTTGTTTATTGAATCTGGATCCCATGGGGAGGGGAAAATGTCCCCCTCATCTTCCACTCCCCCAGCACATCTGGGTCAGTCTGTAAACACCTGGCAGGACAGAGGGTGAGGGCATAGCAGCCTATAATTTACTAGAATCCAGAGTGCAATAAGGTGGGGGAGAGGAGGAAAAAGCAAACCAAAGTGTTTCATATCCTCCCTTTTAGACAATTTAACACACGCACACAAAAAAAAAAAAGAAAAAAAAAGGATAAAAAAAAAGAAAAATGAAAAGAAAAAGAAACAAAATGTTCTTACAACATCTGCATAAGACATCACAGCCAACAGCTGCTATTGGTTTAGGAGAGAAGACAGAGAACTTAGCCCACCAATTCTTGGCCCCCTTGACTTTGTTGGCGTGACCTTGTGGAAAGCTATGGCTTATTTCAAGCCTCCCGTGACTGTGGTGGTAAAAATTCACAGCCAGTAGAATCACCCCTTCTGAATTGAGTCAGGTTTACACTTGTGTTTTCTCAGTTGTTCTGTTTGGGTTTTTCCCCCACTCAAACCAGTTCAGTCTCTGCGGAAGGTTCTCCAGACCTCACGCTTTGTCTGTTTCAGAAAAGAAACAAAACCAATTTTTTTAAAGTTTTGACCAAAAAAAAGAAAAAAAAAAGAAAAAAGCGATCATGTTTGACTAAAACAAAGGAATATAAGCTTCATTTTCTATTGGGTTTTTGTTTGTTTTTTTATTTGTTTGTTAAGGTAGACTAGTCCGTAAGAAGTTTTTGGGTCAATTGAATGAACTGAGGAAACTGGAACCCAGGCTCCAAGCAATAGAGATCCCAAAGGCCGAGCCTTGGCCTGGTGTTATGTTACAGGGAACACGCTGGCCCCTCTCCTGCCATGCTCCAGGGTGCTGCTCCCAGTGCCATTTTCTGCCTGCTCCGGACCCTGCGAGAGGGGAGCATGGATTTGTGTTTTTTCCTGACTGTGCTGAGATGCGCTGTTTTCTTCGGGGGGGGGTTAGGTGTGATTTTAGTGTCTTTAGCACTTCCACATTTTGAATATATATTGAATTCTTTTTTCCCTGATTCCTTGCCAAACCCCCCTGAGAACGTCCCCAAAACAGCCCTTGGGGAGGACAGGGAGGGCCCTGCCATCTACCTTTTTCTCAGAGCAAGTCTCAGCAGGGCTGAGGGACAGCAGTGCAACATTAGTTCCTAGGCACTTTCACCCTGCCTTTATCTTCCCTTCAACCACCCTAAAGCTGAGCTGAATCCCACCCTGGCTCAGGCTGCAGCTCCCTTATGGGTTTGGGATGCTGGTCCCCCCCGTTCCCTTGTGGCCCTGCAGTTTGCCCAGCAGTGATGGGGCAGCAGGAGGGTGTCTGCAGAAGCCAGCCTTGGGACAGCAGCTCAAGCTATGACCCACTGAGCCAAGCCATGGAGCAGCCCAAGACATGAGGAAGCGGTGAGCTCCTCAGCAGGCAAATAACCTGCTCCCCCTCTCTTAACTCCATTTCTACAAGCATGTGTGTGGGTGATGTAGCCTCTCCCCTCCCAGGCCCCCTCGTCATTTGTTTCTTAAGCCTTTGAGAACCATGTTGAAGTTTCAGGACCCAATGCTATTTTTTAAAACCATTTTTCAGAGCATCTTTCTTTTTTAACTTGATCCCCTCCCCAGCACTTAAACCATACGACATAAAGTCTGTGTACAGCAAGAGTATTGTACAAAAGGAGATTTTTGTTCTTTTGTTTTCAAGTAGCTGTGTAAAGTTGTGTTCCATAGATTGAGTATAACCAACATTTTCCAAATTGTGACAGTAATAATGAATAATGAATAATACTCAAAGCTTCAGGGACTGTTTCAGGCCTGCTTGGGGCCTAAACACTCAACTGCATTTATACGACATAGTATTGTATCAAACATTTTTCTGTATTTTAATGAGAAAGCAAAACACTAGTTTCATATTTAAGATTTTAAGAGTTTTAGGGTGGGGGGGGAGGGAGCTGCATTTTTTTGGTTTTTTTTTTTTATTTTTAATTTTTTTTTTTAATACACAAAGAGCCTCAAGAGGAATAAAACAATTTAAAAACAAACAAAAAAACAAAAATTAAAAAAAAAAGAAGAGGCCAGGCAGCTTAAGTATATGCTTTAGTCACTTACTTAGTTCCAGAATGTTTTCGGAATAACAGGAAAAAAGATAAAATAGCAAAAGTTGTATAAAAGAATAAAGAAGCTCATACCCAAATTCACAAAACTATTTTTTAAACCAAAGCACATTTGAATGAGTATGGAACCTCACTTGGCTCAGAAAAGTACTAATATATTTATCTCATTGTTTACATAAACTTTTACAGTTTCAGACCTCAACAGATCTAGGGGCCAGTCAAAATTAATCTTTGCTTTTTCCATTGGTTTGTCTGTGAAGGCTACGCAGCGCTCCCCAGCTTGGGAGGGAGACCTGTGTCCCAGCCTGCATTCCAGCGCTGCTCAGGAGGGCAGGGAGAGGGAGAGCAATGACAAATATGGCACGTAGATACTATTTTCTTTGTCTTCAACCTGTAAGAGATGTTGCTGGGAATGAGACCCAGACACTATTGTGGTGGCATTCCAGCCTACCTCTTCCTCAGAGGAGTCTGAGGGTTATCAAGAGGGCAAAGAGAGACGCAAGATGCTCTAGAGATAGAGAAGGACGTTGTCAGAAGATGGTGGGAGCTGCTGTACCCAGCACATCTCCTTACTGTTAGCCATGGGGAGCTGGGCTGAGCTGCTTTCCAATCCTTTACTGAAAAACCCCCAAAACCAAATTCCTGGCAAAAAAAGCCCCAAAAGCCCAGCTCCGTGCATGTGGGGGAATTAGCAGGAGCCACAAAGTTCACAGAAGACACCAAAGAGCTATTGACATGCAGCTTCTGTGAAGCTTTGTGGCTGCTGATATGGAAGAGTACGCACAACTCGGAAGGGCCCCTCTGGGCAGGGCTGTGGCAGAGGTGGCTGCTCTTCCTGCGCTGACTTGGGTAGCTTTAATGGTCTGGTGTGAGGGCAAGAGCACAGCCCCTACCTGCCTCCTCCTGTTCAGAGCTGTGCTGGGGCCTGAGCTGTACTGTTGGGACCATCTGAGCCACCTCTTAATTTAACAGCTGGATTGATTCACTCCAGACTTCACAGTCATGCCCAAAGAGCCCAGCCAAAACTCCTAAAGCATTCTAGGTGGGAACCTAAGCTTGATTTGCATGTTAGGACAGTTTAAAGATGACCAGTGAAGGTGGTTTGCTAAAATACTGCTGAAGCCAAAAAAAAGGATTAAAAATAAGGCTCCCCATCCTTAGTCTTGACCCGTTGTAGCTTTTACCTTCTACACCAAAGCCACCTCAAAGATTTGAGGGGGGGCTGATGGAAAATGAAATATTAATTTTGCCTGGTCTTAATATCTAACAAAGATGGTGCAAACACTATTTGACAGTGTTGTTTTTGTATCAATATGTATGTGCAGTAATGAATGTATTTATTTCTCAGATTCTGTATGCACAGTTTTGCAATGTAATTCAGAAAGTTGCAAACACAAAGATGTGTCCGCAGGGTCTTCTCTACAGGATTTCAAAAAAAAAAAAAAAAGAAAAAATATATTAAAAAAAAAAGAAAAAAAAAAAAAGGATCTCAGAGACTCTCAGCATAGCCATAAACCATAACCTGTGAAGACAATACAAAGACTGGACTTTTGTAGCTTTGCATAGAAGAGGAATTTATGTTTTGCTGTATTTAAATGTTTCAATTTACAGTGTCACTCTCTTAAGATTCCTGTTTTGGTTTTTTGTTTTTATTTCCTCTCTCTCGTGTGTGTGGAAAGCATTGTTTAACAAGCAGTGCAGGTTCAAAGTCTGGGTTAGCAGTATTTTACCGTGTCGCTTCAGTTCTGAAAAGCAGGAGTGTGGGTCTTGACCAGGGAAACATCCAGTGCACTCAGTGACACAAAAGCAATTCTGAGGTGAGAGCTGGCAAAACCCAGAGAAGGTAAAAGTCATCACGGGAACAGCTGTGTGCTTCTGATTGCAGCTTGTGACTGAGCCCAGCCTCTTGTCCTGCCTGACAGGACATAGCTCCTTTACTCTCCCTCATCCCTCACTCACTGTTTACTGTGGTAGCAATAAGGATCTCAGAACTGGGGAGCTGATGCCTAAGATACCTAGAGGAAGTTTTGTGCCAAACCCAGCAGCCTCTGTGCCATCTTCTGATGAGCCTTGCAACTATACTGAAGCATCAGACTCCCCGTAGTGTGACGTGCTTAGAGTCCCAGGGTCAAGCTGTACTTCACAAAGCCTCTTACTCCAGCAGTATTGGTGGAGTCAGCAGTTATGGACCTCCTACAGCCTTAAAAATTAGCATAAAGAAGGGATGTTTGTTGATTTATGGATATTTGCCAAATTCAGAAACCTTTCCAATCAGCTGTGCTGGAGTTAAGGGAAAAGCAAAGAGAAAACAAAGAGACAAAACCTTCCTACGTTTTAAAATGGGTTTCAGAAGCTCTACATAGCAAATATCTTGCTCTCCCCAGACAGCATAAATGCTCATCATTGAGATGGCATGTTTGAATGAACATTTGTTTTAAGCAAGAGTTTAAAATCTAAAGGAACTCTGAGCTGTAATTCTGGAATAATTCAATAGACTTCTAGCTTTTTTTCCTTAGTTTTTGTTAAACTTAATCATTTGCTCCACATCAGCAGTCTCTCCATTTCTTGTAAAACCCCTTTTTTCCATAAGCTTTCCCTTGCAGTCCAGAACTGACCATGTTCTTGAAAATCTGGTGGTTACTTTCAGCGGCTGAAAGTAGCTTGCTGCAATGTTTTAAGTCTCATGGTACTTTATTGTCCTGATTTTAGTGCAGGGGACAAGCAGGCAAACAGTAGCTGATTCTCAGTCTCTTTCCATTCCTCATACTTTGCATTTTTCAGAGTAGGAAATCTCACTTTTGATGATTTCCTATTAAACTTGCTAAATCTGCTGCTTTCCTTGTAAAAGGAGATCTGGAATCCCTTGTGAGGCAGTTCCAGCTCTGCTGAAAGGCTGTAAGCTGGACCTCCTGGTCAGGAAGGATTCTTTCTTTCAGCCCTAGTTAATCCCTGTGTCACAACAGAATTACTATTTATTTTGCTTCCCTTGTTTTAACTGGACTCAGAGACACTGAAATACAAGTTTAGAGCTAGAAATGCATCTTTTGATCAGTTGTCTCCTATCAGTATCCTCTTCTTTCCTTCCTTCCCCACTTTTACTAAGTATTTTGAAGCTCAGTGTTGAACACATGGGGATCAATGGATCAGTGTTTTTGAACAGAGCAGCCCTGTGCAATGCATCATGATACATCATGCTACATGTGTTGGCAGTTGGGGGACGCAATTCCTAGCGTTTGTTTTCCCTGAGGATGGGATGGTTTTAAACATTCTCTTTCACAAGTTATCAGTCGAAGCACCTAACACAACTGTTCTCTAACTTTCACAGGAGTTTGGCTGGCTGGGGATAACTTTTCTATGAGGAGAGGATCTTGTTCTGGCTGGATGGATATTTTTTCCCCATTTTATTTGAATACTTCAACTGAAAAAGGGATGTTGCATCTCTCTTTGTTTTATTTTAATTTTAAGCCTTAACTATCAGTCAGTCGAGGAGCCCTGGATGTTTCCTGGGGAGGGGAAAGGAGGGAAGGGCAAGGGAAAGGCCGACATTCCTGCTGCAATGTTCTGTTCATTTCCTTCAAGAGCTTGAATTCAGGTCAGAGCCACACATAGTTTGTGGCTTCAACTCAAGTGTCATATAAAAAAATACAGAAATTATAATATGATCTCAGCATTCAGAAATTTGCAGTCTTAATGTACAGTGATGAGAAACTGTTATTTTATGATCTTTTCATTAAAAGCTTGATTGAAAAATTACATCTTTTGCTCTAGAGTTCACCTTGTTCCTACAGCTAATTCTCTCCATGTCTTCTCATTTATTCTTGCTCAGGGATTTGAACCAGCTACTTCACAACGCAGACAGCCCCCATGCACACAGAGCCAAGAGAGCCACACACAACTTCTCATTTTAAGCCCGTATACAATCTGCTCATAAGCCAAAATCTGATGCTCATTAGAATATATAGAAAGGATGAACTGCATGGGCCTGGTGCACAGTAAATGTGCAGGCAATGAATAATGGAGAAATGGTAATTTCACCTTTCTTGTTGTGACCCTGTGCAAGTTGAGGCTGGTTTTGAACAGTTACCTCTGCCTTGTCCACAGTTTGAAAGCAGTGTTTGGCAGAGACAGTAGATGGACCTGCCAATGCATAAATACCTTCAGTCCACTTGGACTGTAAGTCTGACTCCCTGAGCACACCTCTGAGGAGCAGAAAAGCAGCTGAGGCAGGGAAGTTTCCTAGAAGGAATTATGGTTCTCCATCCTCCTGTGGTACAGGTAAAAAGGGGAAATGCTTCCAGGGAAGGTGGCTGTAAGTAACAACAAAAGCACCCACTGCAGATCTCAGCCTCTCAAATGTTAAGATCCAGACATTTTTCTTTAGGCAGGTTAAGTGTGTCCCTAGTAAAATTAATGAACGTTTCCTTGGCCTGGGTTCTAAGTGGTGTTTTCTGGTTCCCAAGCCATCTTTCTGGATCTAAGGATCCTTCAATAAAATACCTATTTAATGGAGACAAATTAAGTAAGCATCTTCACCATAACATAAGAGCCAAGCCTAGTATTCTGCAACACTTCCCTTTGTCACACTACTCATCACCAGAGTTTTGCTGTTTTCTCCCAGAGCCTGTTGGAATGCCTTAATATACATCAAAATAACCCTGGTGTTGAATTCATGTATTTCGTTTTGAGCCTTCTTCCTTTCTTTATAAACACAATGCTGACTATATTTTAAAGTGACTGACTGAAGGAGCTTCAAGTTTAGTCAGTTTTCTGACAGGTTGCACAGTCAGCAGCACTGGTAAGAAAATCATTTTTATTTGTCCTTGGAGATGTGTTTTACCCAGCAAGGTTAAAGAGAAGGACAAAAATGAACAGAAAAACAGATGAAGAGCTACAGAAAACCAGAGGCTGTTTTTCAACAGCTCAGATGTGGTAATGAGCCTGTTCTCTTCCCCCAGCTACCAGGGACTTGTCTTTACCTTTTTCTTTCCTTTATTGCTAATTTCTTCTGGAAGTTTTTGCTTCCTGGCACCCATTTCTCTGTGGCATGAGTGGTTTCCAGCATAGTTAATAGATTGCATATTCTATTTTGCTTTCTTTGCCGTGGTCAGCTCCTTTTCACCTCAAAAGATCCTGTGACAACTATACAAAACTCTTCGTATAATAATTCACAACCAAAATGCAGCTGCCTCTGCAGTGGAACACTGAAATATGTACAACTGAAACACAGAGCACAGGATGTAAAGGATACCAGGTATGTCTGGAATGCCTGGGAATTTGTACTTTCTTCCCTCTGCTTTCATTGCCCCATTTATTGGTAGGACTTCTTTTCTCCCAAACCCACACTTGCTTTCTCTCTACTATTCTTCTCCCTCTTGAAAAGCAAACACAGTTCGGGTCAAACCCTTGAATGACAGGTTTGGTTTTGCTTTTCTTCAGGGAATATAATTTCATCAAAATTGGGGCTTTTCTATTAGAACAAAACTTCTCATTTTCTAAATGAAATTTTATTTCAGCCACTGTTGAGGTCCCATTTGCTGAACAGATACAGATGCAGAATGTTTGTTTGTTTCATGAGAACTCTGATGTCTGTTCCCTCATTAAGAAGTTACAAGGGAAGGACAGGTTTTTTAAGTTCAGTAAAAGCCAAAAGACCAGCACCTCACTTTGCAAATTACTTCTAAAATATGCCTTCATCCTGTTCTATATTGAAAATAAACTCTGAAGGACTGGAGGTTTTATCTGCAAGTAATGCAGAAGCTGTTATCAACTATCAGTTTTGTGTATCTATCTGAGTTTTGTTTGTCTGGATGCACTACAAAGTTGCCCAGGTTTAAACACACTGATTTTGTGTGCACTTGTGCAAAGCCTGCTGTGTACCAAGTTTAGTGTGCCCTGGCTTAAACTGTAAATAGCTAAAGCTGGTGCCTTTACCTCAGCAGAACTCACTGTTCTTTGTCTTCTTTTCTTGTGCAGTGGCAGCCTCCCATAAGCTGTACCTTGAGAATCCAACCTTTTCTCAGTGTTCATCTCATTAAGACTCTGTTCTTCCAGCATCCAAAGCCAACACCCATCCTGCTCCTCACCTTGAGGTACCTGGATTACAAAACCTGGCATACAGGGCCAGAAACACTTCAAAGTTTGCTATTTGGACCAAAATTTTCTTCCTTCTACAACCCCTCTGGGCACTGCTTTTGCCTCAGTTCTGCAGTTCCCTCCTATCCTAGAGGTCACCACACCGCATCTTCCTTCTTTCCTTCCATGGGCTCTGTAGCAGCAGTCAGTTTGGTTTGGGTTTTTGTTGTTTTTTTTTTTATCTCTGCAGTTGTACTGTCTTAGTGATGAACACTATTGGAAACTGCTGCAGAGCAAGCTCTGAGTCCATATGTTTCAGCTCATAGGTTGAGCCAGCTGTAGAAAAGCACGATCTCCCTGCAATTACAGTGCATCTATACTCCAATACTACAGAGTGAAAAACATTCATCATACTGTCTTCTTCTGTTCCAGGTGCTAAGAAGAGAGGCCAATGTAGCTGGTATGTATCAGTCTAGGAGGTGATTGATGGCCCTGCCTACTTGCTTTGCCTTCTGCCTTCTCACCATTTTGCTCCTTACCTTAGTTCCTTGCTCAGTTACAGAGAGCGCTGGGAGAGGAAAGATGTTGTGGGGCTCTCCCAGCAGGACAGTCATCTTTTTGATAACTGAGCTCTGAAGCAAAGACCTAATTCTTCTTCTCTGTTCTTGTCCATCCTCTGCTTCTTGTACACAATAATTAATGGTTTTAAAACCAGACAGAATCCTGCTGACTCTGGATTCAGACTCAGTCTGTTCAGTTACTATTGGTTAGAGATTTTTAACTTGATAAAAATCAAGAACACTTCCAGAAGCCTGACTTGAAACAAGCAGCACTAGTAAAGACATGACATAGCCTTTCCTTGATTCTAGAGGACAGTGGTGGCAGAGCAGATGCTAGCTCTAAGGTTTTCTGGTCAGCCTCCCTGCATATCATGCATGCACATTGTCTGGTTGTTTGGTGTGCACCTACTGAGGGTTCAGATACAGGAACCTGGCCAGACTACATAACCACATCCCCTGGCTGTGGCCGCACAGGGAGCACTTTATGAGCACAAGGCAGGAACTGAGCTCCACACCTGGGCAGATGCTGCTTCTCTGTAGCCCTACAGATCTGCGTGCCTTTACACTAATGGGCCTGGCCATTCAGGGACTGGCCAGACAGATCTGGCCGCAGGACAGAGGAGAGGGCAGCATCACCAGATGGCCCTTATCAGCCTCCCAGCCATGTGTAAAACGTGCAGAACTAAGCTCTAGGTTTATAGCCTTGTCACCAGAGGCTCTTGCTACCCCCATTGCCTGGCAGCAGCCTCCTGCCAACTCCAGCTGGTCCCCTTGCCACAATAGCAGCCAAAGGCCAGCCAGGGAAGATTGCACAACCAGGCCTTGATCTGTATTTTCCACTGCTCAGCCAGCAAACCCCTCCTTTTTTCCAGCACAGCTGTTTTCCATCTCTGCTCAGGAAACATGCCCTGCTTTTGATTCCTGGGTCTTGCTTTATGAAGCAATCATGGGCAGGCTGTCTGGGTGGAACGGGTCACAAAGTGGCTGTGGGATAACTCCGGATTCTGAACGCCAACACAGAACAAAAGCGAGCTTTGCCAAGGCTCAGGTGAGCCTGGGGTCAGCACACAGACACGCTACTGACGCAAGCATGAACGCAGGGTTTTCTTTCTCTGGGCCGTGATGGCTGAACCCCACCTCCCTTTTCCTCTCCTGTCCACTTGCCACAGCCCTTTCCTGGTTAGATCCACGTCTCAGTAACAACGGTGGGTGCAAGGGTGATGGTGTCACACTTTTGCTACATCTCACACAAAACTCCCAGACCAAGGTGGCTGTGCTTTCCTAGGCCACCAGCCATGCATGGCTAGGGTAGTAAGCCGCAAGTTTGACCCCTTCTAGGCATTCTGGTTGACAGTATCACAACACACAACTGCAGCTTGGTAACTTGTAGCCTTAACATTAAAGACACAGCCCACGGCGCAAGCAGAGCATGGGGGTGAGATGGCAGACAGTGGGTGGAAGCCCATGATGAAGCACAGACCCGGATGTACTCCACTCAGGAATACCAGCAGCCAGAAGTACACTGGCATTGCACTTCTTGGCCTTTTCCCCAAAACACTGGAAATTAGCCAGCTCCCTGGTCATGCCAACCTAGAAATTAGCGACCTTCCTCAAGGGTTAAGGCATTAATGTTAACACCATCTATATTAACAGAAAATAGTATGTGTGCAAAAAGGTCTGAGTTACAGCTGTTGCAGGAGTCATACCTTGGCTCTTCTGAGTCATTTACATGTGAAGTGTGGTCCTTTACAGCAAAGTGTCTTTTAGGCTAGAATGGGTAGAAGGGGCAGTTATGACAACAGCCTTGGAGCTCACACAGATGCACCTTGGAGCAGGCTCCAAGGTTACCAAGGGCAGAACAAGTGGTGGACGAGACTGATCCCAGAGGGGCAAAGCTAAAGACTTGCTGGGCACCATCATCAAACTGCCTGGCTGTGCTTCTAAGTAGAGGCAACAGACAGAAAAAGAGAAGCAGATTTAGGCCTCCTTTCCCTTTGCAAATTTACACATGATCAGTTCCCAGCCACTCTAACTGGTTTAAGAGTGTCCACACAAAGGACTTGCTGCCATAAGAGGAAGTATTAAAAAATCATTTAATTGAATCATTGCTGTCATCACAAAAGCCACAGTCTGCAACAGCAGCAGTTGACATGTGGGCAGCAACTAGGGAATCTTCCTCTATAGCTACTTCTTTGCTTTTAGTGGGAGCCTTTGTTTCAGAGCAGGGGGTGCAGGTGGGAACTGGAGGAGGGAAAGGAACACAAGCAGCTCAGGTGTCTCTGGCAGTGAGTGCATCACAGTCCTGCCAAACAGACAGATGAAGCCTGCTCTTCCAGTCTCGGGGCTCTTGTGAGCAGAGCGTGCCACTCACACCAGGTTGTGCAATAGCAGCTTAAGATGTGTACAAACACTGGCAGGAGGGAGAAATGTCAGTCCTTGGTGTACACTCTGACCTATCCTGGCTTCAAGCCACTGGTGGTAGTGGTAAGGTGTATAGATGTCAGGGCTTGTCACGCACTCACAGTGCACTCTGCCTTCCCAACAAGGTCTGTCAGGCTACTCCTGTGCATTGCTTTAGATGTGTACACACAACACAGACTATGAGCACTCTGTCCTGCCTCTTTCCTTTGAAGACAGCAAAGGTGAGAGGGATCTCCATTATTTGACAGAGCATTTAGCTTAATGTTCTGAACTCCTCACCAGATGGGTATCTTCCAAGCCTCCTGACCACTGTGAATACTTTCTACAGAGGCATATTAACTTCCCTTGATTTGGTTGGAATGCCTGCCTGCTCTCATCACCCTTTTGCCACACAGCAGTGCTCTGCAGGCTGTCATACTACAGGAGACCTCTGACCACAAAGTTCAGACCAGTTCCTGGTCCGTAGAAAAACTGTAATACAAGTAAAACAACAATTTTCAGATGGAAAGGTAGCCCAGTAGTGGCTCATGCATAGTCTGTGGGGCACATCCTCCCAGCAGCATGGCCCCTTCACACCCTAGGAACCAGTGAAGCAACATTCTTGAGCAACAAAGGGAAGCATGACACAGTGGCACATAAAAGTTAACTTGTTAAACTTCTACTGCCATGTTCTTTCTGCTGGGCTCGGATTTAACCTTATCTCCAATGTCAGTACCTTGCCATTACCTTCATCTCCATTTTGTTTATTCATTTTTACAGTTTCATTTTCTCTTGAACAAGCTTAAAGAAGTTTAGGGAAAAGAAACACTTGATTTGGTTTGATGCCAAAGACAATTTCCGCCCCCCCTTTTCAGTTTTTTCAATGTAAACAAGAGATGACATACCTTTGAAAAAGCAGCTTTCCTGGGAATGCTGGTGTCCTGAAAACATGTACCCTGGAAATGCCAGTGCTTGAGAGAAGATCAGTCTGTTTTTTTCTGCACTTGGGGAACTAGAAGATGGGCTTAATTCCATGCTCAGTCTTCCCTAGAAATGACAATATATGAAAACATCAGCACAGAAACATAAGAGCAAATTAAAAGATGAGGCTCCTTTCCCTTTAACAAGATCTCTTAAACAGCCTTCCTTGACATCTTAGTAGAGTTGACTCCACTGAGATACTGAGAAAGGTGATGCTTTGGCAAGCTGATCTCAAATTATGCAGTATACCACTACAGGTAAGAGAACAAATAGACCTAGTCCTAAAAGTTTCTGTATTGGCTGGCTCTACCTGCCTCATTAAGCCTTGTAAAAGGATAGTTTAAAAGTGCATTTCTTTAAAATGAAGCAAAGCCTGGCACTGTCTGCTGCTGGAGAGCACTAAGTTCTTCAGACAGCCTTGAGGTGCTCGAAGGGAGGATTTGTGAACACACACAAAAATATGTGAAAGCAAACTATGAAGGCTGTTAAAAAAGCCAGAGAGGTTTAAGCTGTGGTGCCCTTCAAAGAAGGACTGTTCTGAGCAGAATTAGGTAACATCCCATCTAAACCACAACTGCCCATGTCACTTAAGCTGATGGAACCAAACATGTATTAACCAGGCAGGGGGAGGAAAAATTTCAGAAAGGAGCCTTTACAAGCCTTTGATCATCCATTTTGCCTTTTGTTCCCTCATACCTGCTACAGCCAAAGCACTCCACCAGGCAGCTGAGGGGATGGCTGGTTTAGAAGTGTACATAGCAATAAGGAGAGTTAGCAAAGCTATGTCAAGTTGCTTTAGGCCTTATCCAACTGAGGTCAGAATATCTCCGAAGATGGAGCTTTCATACACTTTGCTGGACTACCTGTTCCAATGCTAAACCCACTCTCACTGTGAAATCTTTTTCCTCATATCCAACGGGATAATTAAGGCAGTAGGCTGAGGGGTTTGCCTAAAATGCCAGCATTACACTTTCCTCCCTAACTTGACGTGTGAAGGCTCCAGACCATCAGGAATATCACACAGTGACAGCACTACAAAGGGAGCCTGCAATATAATTATGTATGGGCAGACAGGCTGGAGGGGCCCAGGGGTCTGGAGATGACAAAAGACATGGTAACTGTCTGGGCCCTGTCTTTTGTTTCTCAAGGCCTGTGCCAACTGTGCTGCCAACAGTGTGTGCTGTGCACATGAGGTAATGGTCTGGGAAAGCCTTCCTTCCAGAGGTATATTCTGTGTTTGTGGTCTTTGCTGCTATGCAGCCAACCAGTTCTTCTTCCTTAGCTTTGTGAGCCTGGGACTGCGGAGGAGTTGGCCCATGTAAGGGCTGCAAGGAGCAGTCATCCTCTTGCTCAGCTCTTGAGCTTGTGGAGGAGTGGCAGTGTGCAATGCTGAAGGCAGAGCAGGACACAGATCCTGAGCAGCAGGTGTGGTATGGCACAGAGCAAGAGAGAGCCTGAGGAGATCCAGAATGCTGAAAGCAACAGATGCCCCTCTTTGTCTCTTAGGTAAGCTGAGTCTAAGCTCAGCTTTCTGTGCTTTTACAATTTAAGAGACAGGGAAATCCGTATTTAGAAAGTGGCAATAGGATGAAGTCAGTTAATGCCACCATATATGCATCCACTCTACTTTAAAGAGTACGTAAGGCCTTGCTTTCCTCTGACAAATGGGTGAAGGGAGAGGCCAGGGACTGGACATTTATTCGGTTTATTCTCATGGCTTTGAAAGGCTTAGTTATAGTAGGGCTAAGAGCCAAATGAAACTCTGTCTTGAGCTGTTCCTTTCCTCCCCCACTAAAGTATGATCTTTAAGCTCTGGACCCTCATCTCCACCCAAAATAACTGCCCTGATTTATTTTATGCTTTTTTGTTGTTTCCTTTTAAATCACGTCTAAGCTAAGCTTTTGTTTGCCAAGTTTTCAGCCTGGAGCAAATTTTTAGTCGAATTATAACCTCCTTTCCTTCCCCTTGAAAAAGAGGTGTTTTTCAGGATATGCTGCTGTCCCACCCATTACTCACCTTGCTGCTGGGAGGCAGAGGAGATGGCAAGCATTTTAAATATCAGCATCTCAAAGTTCAGTGTCGCAGGCATGGGCACACATCTGGTTAAACCATTTCCCTCATATCTTGGCTCAAAATCCTTGGCAGAGACATCTCATGGCAGCAGACGTGTCCAGGGAGCTGAGAGGGAGGGAATAAAGGAGACAAAGTGGTTAGGTTTCTCAGAAAGGGAATGGTTGTGGGCTGGAATATAAAGAAATGCCAGGACTGGAGAGTCTGCTCTCGCAGCACGTTAAAGAGCTTTGTCTGTTCAGGGCAGCATGATGTGAACCTGCACTTGAGAAGCCTCCTCTAAAACACAGGCTGCTGAAAGCAGCAAACAGCTGAGGCGAGTGCCTTCCACTGAAGGGACAGATGGTAAATGGTCTGAAAAGGTGCTATGACCTGGAGCTTCAGAGACTTGGACACTTCTTTTCCTCAGGGATTTTGGTTTCCCCAATTAGAGCCCAGTGAAACTGAAAATCCCTGCTCAGCTGCCAGTGAATTTCAAACACTGATTTTGAAGCCAGGAAGGTTCTGGAGAAGACATTTCAAAGTAAGCAACCTCACCTCCCCAGCTTCCTGCTTTACCAGGGGGAACCAGTCCCTCATGCTTAATCACAGCATTTCTAAAAATCAGTGGTCTGGGATGGGATGTGGGAAGGCACAAATAGGAGAGGAATAAAACATATTTGGAGGGGAATTCCCTGTGGATTTGTCAGATCAGGACTGAAAGTCTTTCACTGGATTTAAGAAGTTTCTTGTACAGGAATTGATGCCCAATTACTCTGCATTATGACCTTTCATTATTTTTATCAACTCTACCCCCTCATTCCACAAGATCAGTTATCAAGCAGCAGTTGCCTCTCTCACTCCAGGCAGGTCGCCTGCAGTTCCACCACACTCCCTCTCCTAAGGAACTGCTCCACATTAGGAGCCACCATAGTCTGCAACAACGTTTTTACACATGCTGACATTGGCAGCAAGTTACACGATTGCTAGGCTTTAAAATACTCCGTGCACAGGTCTGGCTGTTGACTGGGAAGGGGAACAAACAGCATTCAGCACAACAAAAAGGCCAGTTCTGGTATTAAGCAAAGAAGGGAGCTGGGCCCAGGACTTGGTGACATCAGATGTGAAAAGCCATCAGAAGACAGGGATGAAAAACTGCTCATGTCCTGTATCACAATCTTCACATTCATTAAAAAAGCCCCCCCCCCCCCATGTCTAGAAGCCTGCAGGATGAGAGATACTTAAAAGCCCATGTGTAAGGCATCTTGTGATGCTTGCCTGAATCTGCAGGCAGCCTGAGAAGCATGAGCTCTTATCTCAACATAAGATAACTAAGAATCACAGATCTGGAAAGGATAAGACAGCAGCAGCTCACTGTCTTTCCCAAAATACTGTATTTCTCACCTAGCCTTCAAACTACTATCCCGGCTTTCCAGGGAAGGAATAATGTGGAGTGCAGACAGAAACCACTGCTCCTTCCTCCACTGTCAGTGGTGTGCCAAGATCCCAAACTGCACTAGTTTAACCTTGCCAGATTTTTCAAGGCAACAAGTACATGGGTCTCTGCCCTTAAGACTTGACATTCAAAGCCTCCAACCCTTCAAAACCATCTTCACTTGCTTGGCTTATAGCTGCTCATATCCACATGACATGAATTGAGTTGCAGGCAAAGAAGGGCTGGGACGTGCATTCTATTGCAAGAGTTGTGGGAGAGCAGAAGAGACTATCTAAGGACTAGTAAGTAGTAATGACTAAGGAGAGCAGACTATCACAAACCTTCCCCTCTCCACCAGGTGACAAACTCTACAAACCACGGACCCTTGCAACCTTCGCCCTTGCCTAAAGTCTGATTTTTCCCTAGAATATTTGTCTTTCCTACATTTCCCCTCAGTAATGATCTAATCAAGGAGAATTCTTCTGGTATTAATCAGATGAGCAGGGGAGCACTTTGTGGTTAATATTATCAATGGGGATGTCAGGAAGGCTTTGACAGGATTACCCTTGGAATTTGCCATTTATTAACTAAGCCATTAGCTAAAATGGCACAGCTGGGGTGGGGCTGGTTTTGCTTTGCACATGGGAGATGGCTTGTTTGAGGGTGGGGAAGCTGAGGGTGGTGGAGTTCTGTCTCCATCTGATTCAAAGATCTCAAACAGCTGCCCTGGCAGCCCTGAGATATCTCTCCTCATCTGTGCATCTTTCTTTGCTTTCATCATCTCTTCCCATTATTGGGAAATCATCACAAATGAGGCTGCAGACTGAGCTAGGAGACCTTGCACCACCATGCGTAGGCTTGTGGTCCAGACCTGGGAGGATGGGGATGAAGCCCTGCTGTTACAGGCTGTTCTGCTATGGGAGGCCACAGATGAACACTCCAAGCCCCTTAGCCCAGGGCACCAGGAAGGAGAACCCAGGTTTAGAAATAGAAGCATATTAGACTTGCAGAAGCAGCTGGAACACAAAGTAAGCACACACAGGAAGGTTAGGCAAGTGAGAGAAACGAAACGATTACTTTGTTTTCTCTCCTTGAAAGTTTGCAGAGCTGCTCATCTAACACAGGCAGGTGGATAAACATGGTGGGGGAATGAAAGAATACAATCAAACATTAAAGAGGGAACCAGTGTAAAAGTATAGCTGCAACACCCTCCTCCTCCCAAATTCCAGAAGTGCTAGGCACCATTTGCTGTGCTCCACACAACTTTACATGGGCTGATGCTGGAGGGAACTTCTGCAAACTTCACTCTCAAAGACCACTGCACCAGAGAAAAGACAGAGGCACCCAGCACTGAAAGCGGCTGGGCTGTGGAGAAAAGGGCCAAAGAGTAAAAGAAACTCCCCTAACACAGCAGGGTATGTCTTTATTCATTCCTTATTCAGGCAGGAGCAGGGACATAAAGTAAAATTTCTATTTAGTGCTTTTGTTCTTGGTAGCACACCTCAGGAAAGATGGCAGGATTCCCTCTGCACAGCTAGTTCTGCAGGATGAATCCCATGCAACAGCACTGGTTTCCTTGCAGAAAAAGGGTCTCTAGTCCTGGGGGGCAGCACAGAGCTCCAGAGCAGAGATTCTGGGGACAGGACAAAGGCACTCAGGCACTCAGGACAGATGTGAGTCAGCGTCTGGGGAGTCTAAAGTGCATGTAGCTCAATGGAGGCCAGGCCTGAAAGCTGCCTCTAAATAGCATCTCACTGCCAGAGACAAACCCCTTACCTGGACAGAACCATCCCAAGGGTGTGCCTCAGCAGGGCAGTTTTTACACTCTTACAAACCCCAGAATACAAAGACATTGACTGAGAGCTTTTAGCATCTCCCCAGGTTTGTACCTGCAGCACCTGTGCATTCAGATACCCCACGGTGTTTACTTGTCATGGGTATGTCAGTGGAGTAACTGGACTCAGCATGGGGCAGAACTGGGCCCTCACAGAGCATTTAGATGGGAAAGAAACACTGCTCTAATCTAGAAAGCCAAATCCTGTCCTGCCTGATCAGCTAAAGAAAGAATTAACACTAGAATCCAAACTGCTGCAGGAACAAAAGCACATCCAACCCATACAGTCTCCTCTACTTCAATACACACAGCATACATTTGTGTAACTCCAGCTACTCTCACTTGAAATGTGGCACTTTTGCAGAGAGAGGCCAGCAAGAGGAGGTCCTTGAAATCTTGGTAAAATTGGTAAGATGTGTTTTCTAGATCATAAACCAAGATCTTGCATCAGCCCTTTACCATTTATTCAGCACAAACAGAATTAACTGAAAATCCAACAGCTACTCCATAACTTCTCACATCGGTTATGGAAAAATCTATCAATTCATGTCTCAAAGTCCAGGTGTGAAATTCCCATTTCTCAATTTGTTCCAGCAATTGCTCTGATGAGGGAACATCATCATTTCTTCACAAGGTACTTTGAAGAAGTCTGGCTCTGAACCCAAATTCTCTATACCAATGTCATCTTCTTCACCTGAAGCAGATCTCCTAGTCTTCATCTAGAAAGAAGGTTATGGGTTCTTGTGGAGGCAGCTTGCTCTGAAGAGGTCCACCCAAAAGGTAAATGAAAAGCCAAAACCATGTCAACATAAAATAGAGACTGAACCTAGCAAAACTGCTGCTGATATTCGGGAGCAGAAACCACATGCCTCTTGCCTGAACAATTTCCAAACCATAAATGATGTTTAATGTGGAAAAAGTCATAAATGTACAAAAGTTACTTCTAAAACCAAAAACACAGAGTTTCTTGCTTATGGCTTTGATGAATGAAGTGTTCTGTATTCTGGCGTCACGCTTGGCACTCTAAAGAACCTTGCTGCTAGGTGGAAATTCATGGCACTGTATGTCAGCATGTCCAATGCCTTTGCAGCAGACTGAAGAGTGCCCTTCAAGATCCTAACACAGGCTAGTTCTGTTGACTGCTCAGCAAGATGGAATACGTTCTCCTTTTACCAATGGTATATCACAAGAAAGAGTTAAATGATACTAAAAGGACTTTAGATATTGCTGTGCACTATGTTCTTTCCTACTCTCAGTTCCTACCTGCCTTTCAGCTGCTGTTCAATTCAGCAAGAGACAATGCATGAATACATCACACTCAAGCCAGAAGCAGCGGATTTAGGGATTTCAAAGGACACAGGAGCTAAGGAAATGATGCTCTAGTCTCCTCTCTGTTACTGTTGGTTTGCAGACTTTTCCAAGTATGTTCCAAAACTATATTTAAAATTAAGCTTTTAAAGTAAACAGTTTGCACCGGGTGCCAAGACTGCTTTGGTGCCAAAATAGAAAACTCTGTCTGGCACATGCACCACTTTCCAAGCAGGAAATCCAACAAAGCATTTAATACAACAGACATCATTTGATAGTCTCAACCAAGACGCCCACTTGGCACTGGCAATAACCAGTCTTCCATCAACTATATCCAAAAATGATGCTTGCTTAACTCGTTATCATGCAAAACACTGATGGGAGTATCTTCCTCTTTTGAAGTCCGATGGAACTGGAAGCGTAGGCTGAAAGTGCCTGGTACACAACCATGCAGAACATCTGAGAACCACCCTTCCGAGGTGGAAGCAGACAGAATAACATTGGAAAGCAGAGCTTCCCCAGTCTCTTCTGCACGGTGAGTCACAAAGAGTA